GTTAGGAAGTATTTCCTACTCTTCAATTTCTGAAAGAGTCTATGTAGTATTGGTATTACTTCTTCTTTAAATATTTGATAGAATTCATCAATTCAGCTATGCGGACCTGAAGTTTTCTTGTGGGAAGATTTTTTTGTGTAACTATCAGGTCAATTTCTTTAGCAGGTATAGACTCATGTAATCTGTCTCTCCTTGAGTGAACTTTGGTATTTAGTGTCTTCCAAAGAATCTGTTCGTCTCATCTAAACTGTTAAATTTGTTGGCATAAAGTAATTCCTAATACTCTCTTATTAGCCTTCTAATGTCTGTAGTATCTGTGGTGAAATCACCTCTCACATTGCTGATATTGTAATTTGTGTCTTCTCTCTTTATTGATCTTCTCAAGGAACCAGCTTTTAGTTTTGTTTATTTTCTCCATTGCTTTTATGTTTTCCATTTCATTTTTTCTTCTCTGATCTTTGTTATTTTTTTCTCCTTACTTCGGGTTTAATTTGTATTTATTTTTCTAGTTTCTTAAGGTAAAATCTGAGGTCACTAATTTGAGACCTTTCTTCTTTCCGAGTATATATGATCAGTGCTATAAGTTTTTTCCTTAGTACTGCTGACATACTGTGCTTTTTTCGCATTTAGTTTAATATACTTTTTCATTTCTCCTTTTCTTTATTTTTTTGACCTGTGGGTTGTTTAGAAGTGTGTTACTCTCTTTCCAAATACTTGCACATTTTCCAGAGGTCTCTCTGTTATTGGTTCCTAATGTAATTCCATTGTGGTCAGAGTACATACTTTCTACAAATTGAATCCTTTTAAATTTATTAAGACTCATTTTAAGACCCAGAATATTAAGTTTCTTGGTCAATATTCCATGTGTATTTGAAAAGTATATTTAGCGGTTGTTGGGTGGAGTGTTCTATAAATGCCAATTCAGTCAAGATGGTTGATAGTGTTCAAATCATCTGTATCCTTACTGATTGCTGTCTACTCGTTTTATAAATTATTGGGAGAGAAACTTGTTGAAATCTTTGGATATCATGGTGACTGCTATTTTTCCTTGCAATTCAGTCAGTTTTTGCTTTGTGTATTTCGAAGCTCTGTTATTAGACACATAAATGTTTAGCATTATTATAGCATATTGATGGATTGGCCTTTTATCAGTATGAAATGACTTTTTAATTCCCATTAATATTCTTCCTTCTGTAATCCATTTTGCGTGATATTAATATGCAATATTCTCTTAACTAATGTTAATGTGTTATATCTTATCCCAGCCTTTTACTTTTCACTGCTTGTGTCTTTATGTGTCAAGTATACTTCTTGTAGGCAGGACACAGTTGTATTTCCTCAATGTAGCTAGTCTACAAAGCTGTACCTGTGTTTCCCCTCCCTGTGCCATGAAGTAAAAACTCTAGGCAATAAGACAGGGCAAACTTGGAGCTCATTTTGTTTCTTTCCTATCTCTCAGGAATAGAGCTTGAACTAGAGCAAGATGAGTGAAGCCCCTATAATAAAAAATTTAAGACAGAAACCACTATTGATGCACAACTTGGAGAGTGAATACCTCCTTAGATTTTGTACCATAAGCAGCTGACTCTTAGGAAGGTACTAGTTCTCAGGGTTGTGTAAGTGCAGGGTTAGCTCATGAGTAAATATCTTTTTCAGTTCTGTACTGTAGGGGCTGAATTCACTCAGCTCACTATAGGCCTGCTCCTGTTAAGGACCACCATCCTTCATTCTTGATGTCTAGTGTCTTGAAAACCATTTTTAAAATTATATTCTGTCTGGATTTTTGGTTTTGCAACTGGAAGGGTAAATCCAGCCTCTGACATTACATCTTTTCTGGAAACAGAAGTCTCGACATACTCATTATAAGATAAAAATTCCACATATAGAGCTACCTGCCTGAAATAAAAATGCTTTCAGGCCCTCCTCTGAATACTTCAGCAAAAGATTTGTCTTCCTTCATTCAGTGATCAGTGAGCACCTTCTCTATACTATATTCTAGGCTAGAAACTGTGGTTAAAATCAAATAAGACACGGTGCCTGCCTACTGGTTGCTCAAAGCTGACTTTTCTAGAACGACTAGACTGGCTCTTTCATGTCATGCATCACCTGTTACCAGGTGGGCAGAGATAGAGGGAAAGTGGTCTAGGGAAGGTAGAAAGCCAGCAAGCCTCAGAACTGGAACTAACAAATCCTCTCTACTATTTCTCAGGCCCAGAGTGACTTGAGGGCTCACTTAAGGTCACAAGGCTATTCAGAAGTAGTTGATTGTTAGGCCTCAGTTCAAAACATCTTCCCCCAATGTCAGTCACCATTATTGAAATCCCACCATTAGAGACTCTCGGAGACTCATTCATTAAGGACAGGGACCATGTCCTATTCACTATTTCACCTAACACTGTTTCACAGAGTTAGCTCAGAGCTTGCTGCATGGGAATCAGTAGATGGAAATAAATGAATGGATGAACAAATTAAAGACATTCCCGTTAAAATGATGACTACGCCTCTGGGAGGTGATTTGGATGGGTTGGGGATGAGTACACTGGTAAGAGAAAGCATACAGCTGGGTCCCAGGAAGGTAATGTGTTATGGCAGAAGAGGTCTCTAGCTGTGCTAGACCTTGATACAAATTAACCTTTCCAAAATTCAGTTGCCTCATCTGTATGATGAGAATCCCAGTCGTACCATATAGCAGGATGTCAGATTCAAAAGGATGAAGTATGCTAGGGGCCTGGCAAGAGAAAGAAGTCAAGGAATGACAGATATTATTAACCTTGTCTCCTGGGAGCAGCAGGTGGGAGTAGGGTGGGGCCTATTGGGTGCAGAGACCTTGCAGACAGAATCCTGGCAAGGTACCAGGAAGACAACAGCCTGTTCTGCTCCTGGGGTATATTTACAGAAACACATCACTACCATCTTCATGCCCTTCCAAAGGCAGCACTCCATGCAGGTGGGCTGAACAATGCACATAAAATCCATGGAGATGGCCCTGCCCCTTCAGGACGTGTATCCAAGGCAACTCCCTATGAGGAAGACAGAATAAAAATGTTAAATCTGCTTAGGATTAGGTGATGGTCAGTTCACACACATAGGGATGACAAGAGAGAGCGATTCCTGAGGATGGCGCTGGTCAGATGGTTCAGGGTGGGAGTTACATGTCCAGCCATGCAGAGCAAAAGGTGTAGTCTGGTCTGCTCTGTCAAGGCCCTATTACATAAAGTTCATCCCTGAGGCCAGGAGCTCTTCCAGCTCTGGCCCACAGCTCTTGCCAAATCTGGTTGGTAAGTGGAAGATGTGCACTCAAATCAACAGATTTTAGATTGCTTTGGACATGGTTTAGCTGAGTCAGAGGCCTAGGGCCTGGTAATCAAAGAAACCTGCCTGGTGATTCACTTATTTCCTCCTTTCTTACTCACATGGACACAGGGAATATGATCCAGGGCATCACCTTCTCCAGCTCCCCACAAAATGCTCTGCAGTGCACATCTCTAGTTTTAATTCTAAATGTGATCATGTATTTAAAACTTGGACCTATTCTACTTCCAGAAAGTCTTCAGATGGAAAAAACCCAAGGATATTATTTTCTTTGATCCCATGGACTCAGTTTTTTATTAATAACATTTATAATTAATAACATTTTGTGATGTGGGACTTCACAGACTTACAGATGATCAGAACTAGGAGGGGCCTTAGAGACAAACAGGTCCAGTCTTCTCATACAGATAAGGGAGCTGAGGCCTAGACAGATACTGACTTGTTCAAGGTCATATAAGCAGCAGTGGAGTCCAGACTAGAAGCCAGGTTTCTATTTTTTTTTTTTTTTTTGAGATGGAGTTTCGCTCTTGTTACCCAGGCTGGAGTGCAATGGCGCGATCTTGGCTCACTGCAACCTCCGCCTCCTGGGTTCAGGCAGTTCTCCTGCCTCAGCCTCCTGAGTAGCTGGGATTACAGGCACACGCCACCATGCTCAGCTAATTTTTTGTATTTTTAGTAGAGATGGGGTTTCACCACGTTGACCAGGATGGTCTCGATCTGTTGACCTCGTGATCCATCCGACTCGGCCTCCCAAAGTGCTGGGATTACAGGCGTGAGCTGCCGTGCCCGGCCGGAAGCCAGGTTTCTGTATGCTCTCTTCCACATCACATTGTAAGAAACCCTCTGAAAACACTCCTTCAGAGTCTTTCAGAGCCTGATTGAGGTGTATGATTTGTGATTTGGTTTGGGCTGAAAACAGCCTTGGACATCACCAAACCAGGCCTGGAAAATCCTGTACAACATAGATTGGAGCATGTTTTCTCCTATGTAAACTGCAGAGCTCACAGCTGTGGCAGAGGTCTATGACGTTGGGTAAGAGCTCACCAAGAACTTGACTGTGAATGATGTAGGAGCAAATGCACCTGGCTGAGGGGAGCTTTCCATCCTCGGCAATGCTGAGGAGTCGGGACAAGGTGGGATTAAGATCATACAAGCTACGCAAGCTTGGATGTAAATCTCAGCTTTTGTAATGATTTGCTATGTGCTATTGAGCAAGTCACTCAACCCTCTCTGAGCCTCGGTTTTCTCACTGCTAAAATAAAGATGATAACAGCTATCTCAGAGAGATGTGAGAATTACATGAAAAAAATGTATATAGAGGCCATGGCGTGGTGTCAAGTAAACTCTCTGTAAATGGAAGCTGCTCTGCCGGGATCTGTTTTGTTGCTGTTTGGTTGTTTAAATTGGGAGAAATTGTTTTCAGGCTTCCCCTATCCCATATCCTTTCAATCTGGAGATGTCTGTCTTCTCTCCACACTCTTCCCTTCTCCCTTTGATAGGCTTGCTGATCTATTGGTGATGGCATAGTTTCCCCTTGTCCTGGGCTTTTGCTAATTAAGAGGTAGTTGCTAAGAAATGCCTGGACACACTGGTGAGCGGCTCTGTGCTTCCCTCTCATCCCCTCTTGTTCTTTTCAGCCTCACTCCAACCCACCACACCCACTTCTCTCTCCCATCTTCCAAAATCAGGTTCTGAAAAAGACTTCAAGAAACTGACTAATCTGGATGGCCACCCCTGATGGAAGGGTACTCTCCAGACCCCAGAAACCTGGTCAGGGGTCTGGCCAGAAGCCAAAGGGGAGTGGAGCCTGCCTGCATCCCCTGGACAGCCTGGAGCAGAGGGAGACTCAGGAGCAGGCGCTGGGCCAGCTAGTCATGCTGAGGAAGGCACAGGAATTCTTTCAGACCTGTGATGTTGAAGGCAAAGGCTTCATCGCCAGGAGGGACATGCAGGTAAGCGGGGTTCCAGGTGGGCCTGCCCACTGAGAATGCCAAATGTCTTCCTGTCTCGGGTTAGGGCTTGTCCCATGGGAGGTGACATGCTTCACAGAAAAGATTCCATCAGTTCTGTCTTGGAAGGAGTGTCTGACCAAACTCTGCTAGGAGCCAGACCTCCTGGATTCCTTCTCTTTCTGGCTTTTACTTGCCATCGGACTCCAGGGTTGTTTCCTTCTCTGCCTTAGTAACTCACTGAGATTGTGGGAAGTGATAATAGTAACATAAGGGACTTAGTAAGACACAGGGAAGAGCCTTCTGCAACTGAAAGTAGACAGGCATCAACTTGAGTTCTACCAAAGTCGTTCCTGCTGTCTGTGCCTTGGGAACAGGTACCGTGTCAGCTGTCACAGCCTGGGAGGAAGGCATTTCTGATGCTGTTTAATCCATCTCTCACCTTCAAACCCAAACATCGCAGTAGGCCATGGTTCTCCAGAGAGATGGTGAGCCGAGCATCAGCGCACACCATTGCGTAGTGCAGGGCCCGGCAGCCTTTTTATAAAGGTCCAGAGAATAAAGATTTTCGGCTTTGTGGACCTTGAAGTCTCTATGACAACTACTCATGTCTGCCGTTGCAGCGCAAAAGCCTCCACAGGCAATATGTGAAAAAATGAGGGTGCTGTGTTCCAATAAAACTTTATGGACAAGGAAGTTTGAATTTTATGTAATTTCCATGTGTCACCAAATATGGTTCTCCTTTTGATATTTAAAAATGTAAAAACCAGTCTTAGCTCACTAGCTGTACCAAAGTAGGGGGTTGCTGCGTTAGCCCAGGGGCAGTGTGCCCACTCCTGGTCCGGTGCCTTTCTTTCTTTAGTTTCAAAAACTTCTCAGTGGCTGACTGAAGTCCCTTATGCTGTCGTCAGGATTTCACTTGAACATGGGTGAATAAAACACAGACTCCACTAGAGTACTTTGAAAGCAGCTCTTTTCCCCTCAGTCTTTGTGTCACTCACTCCATCCGAGTAGTTTTTGAAAGGATGCATCCCTGTGCTGTGGGAGCAGTGCAACATCTGGGTTCTCTCTCCCTCTCTCTCTCTCTTTTTTTTTTTTTAGACAGAGTTTCACGCTTGTTACCCAGGCTGGAGTGCAATGGCGTGATCTCGGCTCACCGCAACCTCCACCTCCTGGGTTCAGGCAATTCTCCTGCCTCAGCCTCCTGAGTAGCTGGGACTACAGGCACGCACCACCATGCCCAGCTATTTTTTGTATTTTTAGTAGAGACGGGGTTTCACCATGTTGACCAGGATGGTCTCGAGCTCTTGACCTCAGGATCCACCCGCCTTGGCCTCCCAAGGTTCTCTTTCTGTAAGTCCAGTTTTTCAAAATATACCAAAGTTGGGCAATGAAATGTAGACTCTCATTTGGCTCAGCCCTATCTCTGCTCATGTGTGTGAGCTGTGAGCTGTGGAGGCTGAGAAAGGAGCCTTGTGACCTAAGATGAACTGTGGCCGTTCTTTCTCTCCCTGGCCCCAAATGATGGTGCTTTTATGCTTCTCCACGAGCTATTCCACTGTGCAACTATTGTACGAATTGAGGGAAAAGACCTGGGGAACAGTACCAGCTCAGCCCACAAGTGAGCCCAGCCCACCCTTCTTTGCAGTGATGACTCCTCCAGTAAGTTTCTGTCACCAAAACCCATTCCCCAAAGGCACATTCCATGTGGAAGGCAAGATTCAGTGTGTTTTGAGGAAACCTTTGACAAACCCTGTCTGTGAACTTCCTAATTGGCATTCACAGGTCTGCAGTAGTGGTGGCTGGTGGTAATGGGTTTAAAATCAGGCTTACCTTTTGATTATTCCCTCTAGAAAGGAAAAGAAAAGGGAATTCACATTTATAGACAGTCAACTCTGGGCCACATGTACTGTGTACCTCAGCTGTCTTGCTGTATATAACCTAATTAACTCTCATTGAGCCCTACTCTTTAATGAAGGGAGGAGGAGGCATGGGAAATTTAAATTAGGTATAAATTTTTAAAGAAGTCACTCATATTTGACTTGAAATATAGTCAGAAACATAAAGTCCCAGAGATACTGACTCAGCCTTCCTGCCCAGTCCTGCTCCTGATCCAGGCAGGAGGACATGGGAACCAACAAGCCACCAAGCAGATAACTTGGAATCCAAGGCATTCATTTTTGCCGTCTACTTAATTTTCTGAAGCTTTTTCTGAACCTGTGGACAGTGAAGCATTTGACATGTTTAGTTCTTTATGCTAACAAGGGCTGTCAAGAGAGAGAACAGAGCATGTCATGTCATTTAACCACCATCTCTGACTGCTTCCACTGGCCACCTCTGAAGGAAGATGGGCTCGGGGAGATGCGTGAAGAAGAATAAAAATGGCTCCTCATGGTCAACGCTGGCCATCTGCAGTAAGTCTCCATGTCCCTTGGCTCTCCTGGAGCAGGCCCTGCAGGCATCTGTATTGTTGGCTCGTCACTTCCACCTGGGGCTGTGGTGTGCATATGGTCACCCCCTTTGGTTGGTGTCCAGCTTCCTGGGCCTGGCCACCACCACCTTTTTTACCTTAGGCTCCCAGCAGAGCCTTATGGGTACTGAAAGGAGAAGAGCTCACATTTTTCTTTCTTTCATTTTTATTTGTTTGAGATGGAGTTTTGCTCTGTCACTCAGGCTGGAGTGTAGTGACGCAATCTTGGCTCACTGCAATCTCTGCCTCCTGGGTTCAAGTGATTCCCTTGCCTCAGCCTCTCGAGTAGCTGGGACTACAGCACATGCCACCATGCCCAGCTAATTTTTTTGTATTTAGCAGAGATGGGGTTTCACCATGTTGGCCAGGTTGGTCTCGATCTTCTGACCTCATGATTCACCTGCTTCGGCCTCCCGAAGTGCTGGGATTATAGGCATGAGCCACTGTGCCCAGCCTCACATTTTTCATATACACACAAATTCAGAAACCAGGAAAGGCCCTTGACAGCAGAGAGTGGTCTTCAAGGAAGGAGACACTGCATGCCAAGTGGAAGGGAGAACACAGGAGGCTGAGGACCTAGTGGAGAAGTCAAGGGGGAAGAAAGTCATGGACAGCTTGCATTTTTTTTGAAAATGGAATGGGGTGCTGGCCAACATGGCCAATAGACATAGCCAGGTGGAACAGCTGCCACTGAAGGACCAAGATGACTATTGCACTCCTAACAGGTCTTCAGAGGGAAGGCACTGAGAGTGGATGGAAGGAAGACACAGAATCTAGGCTGAAAGGGTAGGAAGCTGGGAATCCTGCATGGGGCTACCATGCACGGGACTCATTCCCAGCCTACAACAACTCCAGGGGAATTGCTGAGTTGAACTGGCAAGGAGCAGCCCACTCTCTCCATGGGACCCTGGAACCCCAGCAGGAGGAGACCCCTCAACCACCATGGACACTCGAAGTGGCAGGGAAAAGTGTTAGAGAAGTAGAGGCACCACATTAGCTGATGCAGAGCCCAGAGGGTTTGATGTGGGAACATCTGTAGGAGAGCGTGGCCAGATGCAGAGAACCCCAATAAGATACTTCACAAGAAGATCATCCTCAAGACACATGATAATCAGATTCTCCAAGATTGAAATGAAAGAAAACTGTTAAAGGCAGCTACAGAGAAAGGTCAGGTCACCTACAAAGGGAAGCCCATCAGACTAGCAGCAGACTTCTCAGTAGAAACTCTACAAGCCAGAAGATATTGGGGTCCAATATTCATCATACATGAAGAAAAGAAATTTCAACCCAAAATTTCGTATCCAGCCAAACTAAGCTTCATAAATGAAACAGAAATAAGATCCTCTTCACACAAGCAAATGCTAAGAGAATTTGTTACCACTGACCTGCTTTACAAGAAACCCATTTCCCTAGGCTCGACTTGCTCCTATAGGAGACTTTAGTCCTACGTGAACTGTCAGGCCTGAACTCTGCAGGGCAGTCTTGTCCATAAGACAGGGCTGGTCTGACCTGAGCACTCCTTGGTCTGCCGGCCTCTTCCAGGGACTCAGCCTGGATATGCTTGGTTGTGGAGCAGCAGCAGGTGCTCTGGGGGCTTGCATCATGGCTCCTGTGCTGGTGGACTTTTGGCTGACTGGCAGAGAGCTCCAGTAGGGTGGCCCCTAAGCTGCTCTCTCCCCACACTGCAGCTTCCCCTGGGCCCATAGCAACACCCCATGTTGCTTTGCCAGTGCATGTGTGTGCAGGTGGGTTTTGCCTTCCTTGCCCTGCCAGCACTCACATAGACATGCACCCTGTTCTGCCACTGTTGTGGTAGGAGTGCACTCTGCATTTCTTCTCTGCCAGACCACCACTGCAGTTGGAGCCTTTGGGGCACAGAGCCAGCCAGCCACACCCTTACCAGTGCCCCATTCTGATGCCAACACTGCCATGGAATTGAAACTAGGTACAGAGAACAGCAAACCCTTCCCCTGCCCTGAGCGATCACCCCTGCCTGTGGTGGTGGAGAGCATGCACACAGACCTGCACTAGCCAGTGCCCCACCCTCATGTAACACCACCACCAGCACAACTATGCACACAGGCACTCACAGTGTGTGCTGCCGTCATCACTGTCATGAACACTCACACAGAGGCAGACACTCTGGCACCTACTAACATCCTGCGGTAGCCAGTGAGTGTGCACCCTACCATGTTGCCGCTGCTGCTGCAGCTGGCACATATGGAGGACAGACCCTACTGCCACCGCTCTACAAAAAGCTTTGGCTGCCTGACAGCACCCATTGAAATGCAGTGACCAATGGCCCAGAAGCACCCTCACCCCCACCCCCACCCCCACAGCACAGTATATTCCTAACCTTGAGGAACCAGAGAAAAAAACAGGGCCTGATACAAGTCCCCACACAGTCCAGGAGTTGGGAGCTGAGCATTGGCCCCCTAAAATCTTCCAGAAATGAAGTCAGTCAGCTAAACCCACCTTATACCACAATCAAACCTTCCAGGTCATTGAATAGAATAAAAGAAAAAAAAATCCA